CATTCTAAATTGAATTCCCTTTTTTCCAGGTGGGCGCCTGATTGCTGAACCTGAACCGTCTTCTCTTGTTACTTGACACTGTTTTCCCTTGCATCTTGAACCATTTTCCCTTGAAACTTGAACTGTCTTCCTTTGAAACTGCTTTCCTTTGGAACTTGAGTTGTCTTCCTTCGAAACTACTTTCCCTTGAAACTTGAGTTGTCTTCCTTGAAACTGTTTTCCCTTGAAATTTGAGCTGTTTTCCCTTGTTCTCCAGGTGGGCGCCTGATTGCCGAAACTTTCTGTGTTCCCTTGTTTTCCATGTGGGTTCCTGCAATCAAAACAAACAAAACATACGAAATTTTCTGCCCCAGATTGTACTAGGAAGATTTGTGAGTTGTTAGCAATATTGTAAAACCACTTATACTACTGATGCAATGATGAGAGTAAACTAAAGACTAGATTAGGATGTGCGTCTCCTATGAATGAATTTTCAATTTAGGACGTGCGTCTCCTAAAAGAATAACTTGAAAGACCTTGATTAGGAAGTGCGTCTCCTACAGGTAAAACTTCAATGAACCAGACCAGGAAGTACGTCTCCTATGAATGAATTCTAAATTTAGGAAGTGCGTCTCCTATAGGTGTAACTTCAATGACTCAAACTAGGAAGTGCGTCTCCTATGAGTGAACTCTTAATTTAGGAAGTGCGTCTCCTATGGGTAAAACTTCAATGACTCAAACTAGGAAGTGCGTCTCATATGAGTGAACTCTTAATTTAGGACGTGCGTCTCCTAAAAGAATAACTTAAAAGACCTTGATTAGGAAGTGTGTCTCCTACAGGTAAAACTTCAATGAACCAGACTAGGAAGTGCGTCTCCTATGAATGAATTCTAAATTTAGGAAGTGTGTCTCCTATGGGTGAAACTTCAATGACTCAAACTAGGAAGTGCATCTCCTATGAACTATCAATTTAGGAAGTGCGTCTCCTATGGGTGAAACTTCAATGACTCAAACTAGGAAGTGCGTCTCCTATGAATGAACTCTTAATTTAGGAAGTGCGTCTCCTATGGGTGAAACTTCAATGACTCAAACTAGGAAGTGCGTCTCCTAGGGGTGAAATCTCAATTTAGGAAGTGCTGTCTCCTACAGGTGTAACTTCAATGACTCAAACTAGGAAGTGCGTCTCCTATGAGTGAACTCTTAATTTAGGAAGTGCATCTCCTATGGGTAAAACTTCAATGAACCAGACTAGGAAGTGCATCTCCTAGGGCGTAACTTAAATGACTCAAACTAAGAAGTGCGTCTCTTAGGGGTGAAATCTCAATTTAGGAAGTGCATCTCCTACAGGTGTATCCTGAAATACCCAGACTAAGAAGTGCGTCTCCTAGGGGTGAAACTTCAATGATTCAAACTAGGAAGTGCGTCTCCTACAACAAAATATAACTTGAAAACCCAGACTAGGTAGTGTTTTTCCTAGGGGTGATGTGTGATCCTCTCAATAGCCTTTGCGTAAGCAGCATTGGGGCATTACATCTGAAAAATTCAAGCTTCCGAACTTTGATATGAACATAGCCTTCATCCCTGTTTCAGACAAAGAAAACTTGTGAGTTTAAACATGGTGGTTAGTTTGTGGCCTTGACTTTGAGGGCGATTGCTCCTTCACTTGCCATGATAACTTTGATTTCACCTTGAAAGACATTACTTGCTTATTGACTAACACTTTCTCTGCCACCCTTATCACAGAAAATACCTCTTCTCCGTTCAGACCCAATACCCTCTATCTGTTGAATTGCTCATGAACTGACATTCACCAAACCTTTGTGTTTCACATGAATCCCAAAGCACGTCAATTGCTACCCACTCAGTGCGTATGCTGTTCTTTCTAGACTTAAACCACTGGCCTTGGCCTTGAGGTCTATTGCTCCTTCACTTGCCATGATAACTTTGATTTCCGCTTGGAAGACCTTGCTTGTCATTGGTTAACCACTTTCTCTGTCAACCTTATCACATAAAATACCTCTTCTCTATTCAAACCCAATACCATCTATCTGTTGCATTGTTCATGAATTGATATATACCAAGCCTTTGTATTTCACACGAATCCCAAAGCATGTTGACTGTTACCAACTCAGTGCGCTTGCTGTTCTTTCCTGACTTATGCCACTTTGATGTGCTAGTCAGATCCCGTTTTGTGCAATTGGAAAGCTGGTGGCAAATTTTAAAATCATTTCTCACTTGTTCTGACCAAACAGACTCGGGAAGAGGAAGTAAACAAGACAAAAGGAATAGAGTAAAGGACAAAGGAAAGAGATGATTCCTAACAAGAAAACTTCAAAGTAGAAACCTATCAAATGTGGATACCAACTCTAATGACCATGACATGCACCTGTGGCCTATTCTGTTAAGCAAGTCTGATGTTCAACTCTTGTTGTACCTCTAAACCATGAAATTGGGCTTCAATGCTCCGATTATCCAGTGTGATTCACAATCCTTATTCGACTGGTAGTGCCTGAAGGGTTTTCACCATCGGGCCTCTCTCATTTTGTTCTTTCTCTCAACTTACAGTCGCCTCAAGGTGCCCGTGAAGGTTTTCACCAATAAGACTCTCTCATTTTTTATTTCTCTCAGCTTTCATCGCCTTACAGTGCCCGTGAGGGTTTTCACCAATGAGACTCTCTCATTTTTTATTTTCCTTGTTTGGACCGGAGCGTTGCCCCTGATATGATTCACCTCTGCTTGCTCGCCTTGGCATCTCTCGAAGACTGATCGGAAGGTCTTTCTCTGGACTGTAATGTGGGCTTTTGGATGGGGTTAGAAAGAAAGGGTATCAAAATGCTCAAAACAATTCGAATGGGTTCAAGATTACAACTTCCGGAATCAGATTTCTTACAATAACCACAACTTCTGCCCAGTTTCTTTGCTTGGGGACTTAGGGATTTTTATTTTGACGGGACCGAACCGTGAGGCTGCCTACGTATCCTTAAAAGAAATCAGGTCGAACGTAGCTCATGACATAGGAATTGCTTTGTTTTTGTTTTTTTTGCTTTTCTCTTTTCTTTTCTTTTCTTTTTCTTTTTTTTCGTTTTTTTCTTTTTTTTTCTTTTCTTTTCTTTTCTTTACTCTTTTCCCCTTTTTCTTTCTCTTTTTCTCTTCTCTTTTCCTCTTTTCTCTTTTTTTATAACTGTATTTCTAAACTCTGCTTCTAGTTCCAAAAGAGGGGTATGAAAGAGAATAAATAAGGCTCAAAGGGGTAAAAAGGATAAAATGTTTAGATAGCAGAATAAAATGCCTTCGTCATTCCAATCTTCAAAGCATGACAAATACAAACAACACAATTAAACAAACCAAAGAAATCATACGTAATATCTTTTGACTGCATCAGAATGAATAGCCATATCCACACATTTGCCTTCTACATTTGTTAAATACAAAGCACCATTGGACAACACTCTCGTTACCACGAACGAATCCTGCCAATTAGGGGCAAACTTGCCTTTAGCTTCAACCTGATACGGTAGGATGCGTTTCAATAGTGTTTCTTTATCTTCTATTTGCCCCAGTTTCACACAATTCGGGCTTGAAGTGATCTCAAAATGCCTTTACTCATTTCCCTCAAATGTCCCTATCATCTTCAAAATTGTTTCATTGCTTCATGACTAAACTAATTTTTTAAGATCGGGCTGAGAATTACACGTGCATGTCATGTCACTAGAACCAGCATGAAAAGAACTATAAAAAGGGGAGAGAACTAAACAAAAGAAAATGACTAGAAATAACAGAAAAGAGGAAATTGCATTAGACAGACGGTGAAACGTTCGAACAACAAAACAAGCAAACTAAACTGGGGCTACAACCCTGGAACAAACCTAGACAACAGTAAACGAGTTACTACGACAAAACAAACTAGGCAAAATAAAAGGATAGAAGGGTTTGAGTCACAGACAATATCCGAATTACAACCCTGAAAATAACCCGGACAACAAAAATGACAACAAAATAAACCACCAAAACTCCTCTCCGGCTAACCAAGAAATGGAGCGTCTTTCCAATTACCAAGCACGACATCTTAGCCACTGAGTTCCGCATCAATATTGCCAAGACCATTACCAACTTCAATATTATCAACTTCGGTCAACAAGTTCCCAAGAGGATTCGCATGCTCCCTGTCACTGTCATTGATCACAATTACTCCTTCTTGAATCATTCTTTCTATTTACCTTTTCAAAGAAAGACAATATTCAATGCTATGCCCTTGGACATTAGAGTGGTACATGCATCGTACAGTAAGATCAAAGCCTTTTGCATATGGGTCTGGAGTATAGTCGAGGAGCGGCTCAATCAGGCCAGAATGCTTTAACTTTTCAAACAAGCTTGTGTAGGACTCCCCAATTGGCGTGAAACTATTTCTTTGCCTTTGTTCCCTTCCCTGCCCCTATTTTCTAGGGTTGTTGGGTACTCGAAAATGTTGTGAAGGCAAGAATGCATTATGTGGTGCTGGCGCTCGCCATAGGGAGTGACCTGGTGGTTGGACATATGACCGGACATTGTTCGGAGGATAATACTGAGGTGGATTATGTGGAGCTCGGGGATATGTTTGGGATTGGAGTTGAGGCTGGGTATATTGGTGAGGCGGACCCTTTGGTCCACGTCGTGACTCTGAAACAACCATGGCAAAATCATCATGTTCCTTCTGACCCAGCAAGTTCCCTGTGTTGTTCTGAATTGCTTGTGTTGTGGCTTTTAAAGCAGAATAACTCATGATCTTGCTAGACTTCAGCACATCTTCTACCATTTCTCCCTTTTTTACCACATCATTAAAAGGCATGCCCACAGCCGTGATCAAATGTCCAAAGTAAGTTGGTTCTTGAGCTTGAAGAAAGTAGTCGACCATCTCTTTTTCTTCCATCGGAGGATTGACTCTGGCAGCTTGCTCTCTCCATCTGAGCCCGTATTCCCCAAAGCTTTCATTAGGCTTCTTTTCCATTTTGGCGAGGGACCTACGATCCGGGACGATTTTTATATTATACTGAAAGTGCTTGCCCGTGTTCTGCCAGACGAACAACAACACCAATGATTGTTTCAAAAACCACATCTGGGTTTTGCAGCTCCTTAACCTGCACACTATTTTAACCATCATAATAAGTTTTCCCAACAGCATTTCTAGGAAGCAACCAATAATACGACAATAATGCACACACAGTTGAAGATCAAAAATCTGTTTTCCAAGGTTTAAGACCTACATAACAGTTATTATTACAGCTTAACATTATTCTCATAATGCTATTAAATAGAGTATTCTGTGTATCTTACAAGGAGCTGTTGCTATAAGTACAAAATAGACTAGCAAGATTATAGAGTTTGTGCAGGAACGAGAATCCCCAAGTAGTAGTTGGGAAGAAAAGTTAGGACTACAAACTTACTTAAGCTTCCAAAGGCCAGTTTAGCCACATAATTGATCATGCAAAGGTCCATGACTCTAACATACCATTTTTAAAGGCGATTATACTTGAAGAAATGAAAAAAGAACATGATAATTCCTATGAAGCAAGCTATGTAGAATTCTATGCTACTATATGAAAACTCAATTACTGAAACATAACGGTTATGCAGAACCTCCAATACCACAAACAAAATATATTTTTTCAAATTATGATGGTGATTAGAAATAAGTAATTCTCATTTCATCGCATCCTTATGACTAATATTGTGAAACTTGGCATTGACAAAGTGCCTCTATCACCCAAAGATAAGTTTTATAGAGGTGGTGGTTAGACCGACCATGTTGTATGGGGCTGAGTGTTGCCTAGTTAAGCAATCACACATCCAGAAGATGAAGGTAGCAAAAATAAGGAAGTTGAGGTGGATGTGCGAGCATACTAGGATGGATAAGATTAGGAACGAAGTTATTCGGGAGAAGGTGGGCGTAGCTCCTATAGATGATAAGATGCGGGAAGCGAGGCTCAAATGGTTCGGGCACGTACGGAGGAGAAGCCTAGATGCCCCGGTAAGGAGGTGTGAGCGGTTAGTTTGGGAGGGTACGAGGAGAGGTAGAGGGCGGCCTAAGAAGTATTGGGGGAGAGGTGATCAGACAGGACATGGCGTGGCTTCAGATTTCTGAGCACATGGCCCTTGATAGGAAGGTTTGGAGGTCGAGCATTAGGGTTGTAGGTTAGGAGGTAGTTGAGCATTATTCTCCTTTGTACAAGTGTGAGGCTAGTCCGATAGGGCTTTGTCTTAGACTGCTAGTGGTCATGATGTGTTCACACTATTCTACTGTTCTTTGTGCCTGACCCTATCTAGTGATTATTGTTAGTGCTTTGCATCTACTCTATGGTATTATGTTGTTGTCATTACTTCTATTGTTTTCTGATGCATTGTCTCTCTTTTCATCTTCTTAAGCCAAGGGTCTTCCGGAAACAGCCTCTCTACCCCTCGGGGTAGGGGTAAGGTCTGCGTACACTCTACCCTCCCTCAAACCCCACTTGTGGGATTTTACTAGGTTGATGTTGTTGTTGTTGTTGTTGGCATTGACAAAGCATTGCATATGTACTGCTAGGTAAATAACACCTAGTTCACAAAAGTTTAAAGAAATTACTAATATCTACTTCTACATATAACCAATGACGAAGGACCCTAGAACTAAAAAGACCATTAGAAAAATCTTCATCGCCATTGAATTTCTTCTTCAACGGCACTAAAGATTGATGATGGACTAAAAACTTTTAGAAATGGCCTCAATCTCCCCTCAAACTTCTTAAACAAAGTCAAGCAAAACTGATCCAAAAAATCGTCATTATCTCTTACCACATGTGCATCCTATTCCCTGAGAAGGAATAGAGAAGTATAAAGGGGAAGTGGAATTTATGGCCATAGTTGTAGCTTAAGACAAAAAACAAGTGGCCTTCATCTGATAATTAAGTTTAGCATACACAATAAAGTAAAACAGTAGCATCACCAGAATGTAGAACCACCAAGATGGCATTAAAAAGTGTGCATTACTTACAGTGGATAGCCTGGTACAAGTGACATAATCAAACAATGTCGATTGCAATCGACAACATTTGGAACAGGGAATCCATGTTCTTCTAGTGCGTGCTTACACGAGCACTAAATATCAAAGCAAATATCCAAATTTAAGGACAACTAGTGTTGTCAAAGGAGAAAAACGTTAAAAATGCTCCAGGTCTATTAAAGCTTTGCGCAAAGCGCAACTAAAGTGTGAGCTTAGTTAAAAAAAAAGTGCAACTAAGAATTCACGGCAATGAGACACACGCCTTATAATTAAATATGAGCCCCCATGCCTATATATTTAAATATAATTAAAAGAAGAAAATAAAAAAATTACTAACATATCAACGCAACAACAGACAATATACTCCAATTAAGGGAAACGAAAGAGGACTAACTTGAGGGAAGCAATACGGTCAATGAGCTCAGAAGGCACAATTTCATGCTGGAAAAAGAAAAAAAAAGTAAACAAAGAAGGATTATAAACTGAAAAGAAAAAAATTAAGAAAGTGAATAGAGTGAAAAAATGGAAAGGGTAGTGACATTGCGCATGCCAATCTCAACGGCAGTGAGGACCCGAAAATCATCTTTGGAAAGGTATCTTAAAACGTTAACATCCAACTTCATCTTCTTTGCCTCTTCTGTTGCTTGTATACTGGAAAAGGAGAAGGATTTTTATTAGCGGTAAGCACTACTGTGCAGCAACAAACAAGTATAAATCCTAAACTATTTGTTTGGACAAAAATATAATTTTGGGAAGAAGGAAAACTTCATGGAAGTTGAGTTTTGCTTTGACCTGCGATTCGTAAAAATCTGGTTTGGGCCTTCGATGGTTTGGGCCTTCGAGTCTAACTATAACGGTGAAAGTGCACAATTAGCCACTAATTGAATATATTTTTACTTTTTAGCAAATGTTTAAATGTATTTACTTTTATCCAATACTTAATAAATTTTACTTGTCCGGACAAAATACCCATGTGCTAATATTAGGGGGTACAAAATCAGCCCAAACTCATTTGATCCACCCAACCAGCCCAAGTGTTAATGGGTTGGGCAACATGTATTTTGCTAGTTGGGCTGATTTGGGCTATGCCCAAAATGACCCATAAAAAAATAGAAATTTTTACATTCTTATACACTATATGAAACTATATTACCCTTCCTACTCAAGTTTTACTATAATTACATTTTACATACCCAATTACCATTTACGTACATTTTAAGGGAATTAATGATAATAATTAGTGTCCTAAAATTACTCTAACATATCTTCCATTCCCCTACTTTTCTCTCTCCACATCCCACCCCTCCCACCGTATCTTGTCACAAGAGGAGCAGCAATTACCTACCACTTGACGGCCGACTTAAAAAGTAACTTTGTAAGACTTTGTAATTACGTAATTTAGGGTTTTTAAAAAACGTAATGTTTGTTTGGTATGGTATATTGNTTAAAAAGCTTTGAAGCTTTGAATTCGAATTTGGATTTTCAAAAAATATTGTTTGTTTGGATTGGATGTTGTTGCAAAGAATTGAGAATTCTCTCTACGTCTCTCTCTATCTCTCAATCCCAAATTTCAGTAATGTAAAAGCAAAGAAAAAGAGAGAGCAATTCCACCATTGACAACCATTAAAAAGCTTTGAAACTTTGAATTCGAATTCAGATTTTCAAAAATTATTATTTGTTTGGATTGAGTGTTGTCACATCTCCTTTTTCCTACACCCCGTAAAGAGGGTATAATAAAGGGAGTTTTTCCAATTTAAGTGACAATCGAAACAAGATTATTTTATTAAAAATTCAGAGTCGCCACTTGGGATAATTTATGGTGTCCCAAGTCACCGGTTCAAATTCCGAGTCGAGGAAAAGATTGACTCTGTATTACAGTCCGCGAACACAGAAATCCGGGTAAGGAATTCTGTTAATCCGGGAGAAGGTTTTAGGCATTCCCGAGTTCCGTGGTTCTAGCAGGGTCGCTCAACTGTTATTTTTGGCTCAATTATCTTATTTTAGAACACTTTTAAACCTATGTGCATTTTTAGCTTTAAAACCGCTTTTACTTATTTAAGAAATTAATTCAAGGTTATTGAGAATATATCGCAAGCCACGCTACATGAAATGCACCCGTGGTTCACGACACATTCTATTTAACCTTGTTAGAAATTAAAATCGGGTCACATGAAATGCACCCCCAGGATTTTAGAAATTAGGCCTCACAAAAACGTCACAGGAATCCTACCAATGTGAAGCAACAATTGCTTAGTTGTTATGGCTTCATAGAAAAGGTAAAGCTACATACTAAAATTTCGAGAAAGGTGAAGGTTAAAAGCAGGAGGAATGCCACAACAAAAGTCTCTAAACAGTGGAAACAGAGCTGACACCACAGGTTGATTACCAGGAACAACAAGAGTATTCAGGAAAAATATAGTTCGAAAACAAATGATATAGAAAGTGATTTTGAAAGTAAAATAGATATTATAAAACAATTGCTGCAAACTTTCTTCCATATACTAACTAATAAGTTAAAGAACTTCTAGAAGTTTCTCATTGACCGCATTATCCAATTGAGTGACAAAACCAAAATACACAATCAGGCATGATATGAAAGATAGCATGAATTTGAATTTATATCTCTAATCTCAATTCTGACAATGCATTTTTTATAGTGAATTCATACCTCTAGACCCCATACTGTAATCCAAACAATCACAAAAATGGAACAAACTACAAACGTTAGACTTTCGACCAAAACGGAACAAACATCAACAAAATATTAATTCAAACAATTACACCTTGAATCAGATCTGTCATATTTTTGTGACACGAGATTCACATGTGACAAACAGCCATGACTAATACCACTCTTATCGCGGTCCCAAGTTTCTGTATTCACGTGAAGACACCATTGGGAGATTAAAAAAGGTCCTTAAAAGTTAAAACAACAATGCAACAAAAGTGCCCAGATCTCAGAACTACCAAAAGGATTACTGCTATGACCAGTCGTTACAGTATCATACCTGATGCAAGGTCTAAAAATGGCATAGACAACAATGAAAGAAGTAGATGTAACAGTTATATTCGAATAATTTACAAAAGATTAGCTCAGTTGGAAGCGAATGGATCTGAAAACGAACAAAGAACGACGCGCGGAACCTCGATTGGAATCGACAGACTCGAACGACAGAGGTAAGGCAGAGAAGACATGGAGAGGAAGTAGTGATGGAACTCTCTCGTGTTTTTTGCTGAATTAGATCAAGAACGGGGGTCGTTTGGTTTTGGTATCGACGGCTGATGGGTGTTCTTCGTCGTTTGGTTTCCGGGGATGGTGGGGTGCGATGAGAAGATGAAACTACAGGGATATGGGCGTTCGGAGAAGACCAAGCTTCAGGGGTCTTTGGTTGGTTGTTCTCGCTGGGTTTCCAATTGAAGAAGGAGGCGCAGGACGATGGGGTCTGTCCTAGTCTCTGTGGCGGATCTGTTTTTTGTATTCCCTCCAGCTGCCTTGTGTGTGTATCCCTATATTTTAGGTTAAGGGGAAAAATAAAGAGGGTAGGGTTAGGGTGTGGGTGTTGGGTCGGGTCGACCCGGTTTGGGCTGGGTAGGGAGAAAAAATTTGGGCTTTTAAAGTGTTTGGCCCAATCGAATTTAAAACCAGCCTTTTCAATCTTCTTTTCTTTTTGTTGTTCTTTTTCTTTCTTTAATTAATTAAAACCCAAACTAAATTCCTAATTTAATTCAAATTGTAAAATTAAGCTAATTATCTAACTATAAAGTTTATAAAAATTAATTGATCCTAAATTTAAAGAGAAAAATAATAATCCAAATTTAAGGCTAAGAATGTAAAAATGAGTCATTTTTTTGTGATTTTTATTTTTTTAATAAAGCAACTAACTAATTAATTAATACTAAAATGTGAAAAAAATCTAAATGCAATGCATGGTATTTTTTATTTTTTTTTATTTTTAATGGGAATTAAATATGCACAAAAATCAAATAATTAATAAATTTTACAAAAAATCCTATAAAATTGCAAAAATAGGGAAATTATTTTCTGATATTTTATGGAGTAATTCATAATAGGGCAAAAATCACGTGCTCACAACTGCCCCTCTTTGCTCGAAAACAGAAGAGTTTTCGTGCAAAGAATAAGTGAGCGGATACGAGCGATTTTTGCCCGTTTGGATACTCCATGGGAAGCATTTTGAAAGATTTGACCGAACCTTGCTTCCGAGGTTGCTTAATATCCTTGGCTATAAAGGAATCAGGTTAGTGTAGTTCAGAAAGATGATGGAGTATACCGAGGTGAAGAGCCGGTCGAGGTGCCGTTCCGTCGAGGTTCGGATCTGCGGTCCTGTTATTACATCAAAATCAAAACATGAAAAAAGACTAGCTAAACCTATTAACTACGAGTTACAAGATTCCTATCTATAAGTCTTCTGAAGCTTGATCTTGAGTCTTCAGTGGTTCTTCATGCAGACTTTAGGTTTGAACCTTGATGATTGCTAGTTGCAGGTGCTAGCTCGTTCTTCTTCAGCTTTTCGGATCAAGACCGGACATGTAGTGCTTGTGACTGTCACACCTCCTTTTTCACTACACCCCGGAAAGGGTATAATAAAAGGAGTTTTTTCCAATTAAAGGACAATCGAAACGGGATTTTTATTAAAAGATTCAGAGTCGCCACTTGGGAGATTTATGGTGTCCCAAGTCACCGGTTTGAATCCCGAATCGAGGAAAAGAATGACTGTTTAACAGTCTGCGAACCAGAAATCCGGGTAAGAAATTCTGTTAACCCGAGAGAAGGTGTTAGGCATTCCCGAATTCCGTGGTTCTAGCACGGTCGCTCAACAGTTATAATTTGGCCTATTAACTGATTTTAATACGTTTTGAACCTATGTGCAATTTTAACTTTTGACCGTTTTTATTTAATTATTTTAAGAAAGATTGCAACGCTATTTAAAATATGTTTCGAGCCGCGTCACATAAATGCACACCGTAGCCCATAACACATTTTATCTAACGTTGAGATTTGGATTTGGGTCACATAAATGTGCACCCGAGTTTAGGAAGGTACATTATTAAATAACGCGCCTAAAAGCAACTACGCATTAGCAACTTTGCGAGGGCCATGAAAATTCGCTAAATGGCACGCCTCGAATTCTAAGGATCAAAACAAGATTAATTAATTGAGGGCCATAAATTATACATTTGGCAAATATGGCACACCTCAAATCAATTCAAAGGGTCTTTTTAACAAAATCAAGTGTCACGGCAATGAGCACATTTGACGACGACAATTAGTTATACTTGCTAAATAGCTTCTATCCTCCACCACATACAATTATCACGTGCCACCTAATTTTGACCAACCAAACACCAAAAATATCATAGAAAATATTTCCTAAACTAAAATACGAATATATTTTCTCACATAGCTAGCTCACAAGATCTGGACAAAGGGAAACATGGAGGAAGATTATACTAATTCAAATTTTCGAGAATATTACAACTAATTAATGGGGACTAAACGAACACACGGAAGAAAAAGTAGATGAAGCTTTGACAAACAATTACCAAAGTTTGCATCA